TTTTTGTTTTTTGTTTATTTGTTTTGTTTCAATGGTTTTTTGCTGTTGTTGTTTTTTTATTCTGTTTTTTTTTTTGCACAGTGTCCAAAGATTTGATACATTAAAATATTTCAATTTTAAGTGAGTTCGTAAACGACTCGATTAAATCATCGACTTTAACTATAATATTGCATTTATTCTAATTAAAGAAGCTTTCCAGAATCTCAATGATTAACAACAATTCATTAGCAAATTTCTAAATCATTTCAATCGAGTATGTAAAATTAATTATATATTCCATTACAATTTGACTGTGCTGATTTCTACGTTTTTCTTTTTCTTTTTTCGAATGAATTCGTCATTTCATGACAGATATTACCGATATGAAAAACATTTCTATATTAAATCAAACTAGTTCATGCGCTGTAAAAAAAACATCACAAAAAAAAAAGAACAAATTAACAACGACAACGACGACGACGACGACGACGATTATTCCATAACTCTGAAAAATTTTCTTTAAATTCCACGATTTATTTTAAATTGTTTATAAGATGTATCCCAGAATTCCTCGATCTTTTCCAGATCCAATATTTATTCAATATTTATTCAATATTCAAGAGGTTAAACTCGCATGCCGCTATTGTTCATTATTCAAGCATCCGGGTCAGCTAAGTGCATTGGATATAAGAGTATGCAAGATCCAACGTAAATTGCCGGAGCACGAAAAGTTTAGCGATTATAATAATATTAATAATGATCGTCCTTACTTGAATTCCATCAATATTAACAGCATTATTAGAATAAAAGCTTAATTAAATTCATTGAATTCAAAATTTTAATGGCCCACGCGTAAGCAATCGCCATCTAAGTTGATTTCCTTAGCAAAGTTGCTTCATCATTTCCAACGCGAGAATAATATTTTCTTGTTCGCAGAAAACACACGGCAGTCCCATATTTCGTCGAAATCGTAAAGGCCAATATTAGGTGGCTGTTGGCCTGCTAATGGCCTTGTTTCTTTAATAATCCCGGCCGTCCGCGACCTATGCCCTTATGTTATCCCGCGTGCGAGTAATCGCCGGCCTGTTGCGCTCGACCATGATTGTCCGGACGTCGAAATTCCAAGGAGCAAATGATCCTGGTCTACCAAACCCCGGTCAAAATCGAATTCTCGTTTCCACGCTAAGAGCATGCTCATTAAGTTTAGAATAGAGTATAAAAGGGCTCATAACGCTCTTCGCCGCAACACCCATGATTTTCCAATTGCTTAATATTTGAGATTTTGCTCATTTATTTCATTCAAAACTCTTGGGACAAGCCATTTATTTTGTAACAGAAATCTCGTCCGGCTGACTCTTACGATAGTAAATGGATATTTTCTTTTGACGTCCTTGGTAAACTTATGTAAATCGTGTACATATTATTATTTATAATTTATGTGACGTTTATGTGACGGAGGAGAAATATTACCGATTCAATTAAATAGTTATCTTAATGACATACATTACTTAATTTAACAGTTTTATCTCGTGAAAGCAGTTTAACATTTTACATTTGTTGTTTTTTATTTATTATTATCTTTTATTTTATTTGTTTATTTATTTATTTTGTTCTTGATTTTTTCAATGGCCTGAATGTTCTTTGAAAATGTCGTTATGTATACATTTGTTAATTTATACGATACAAATGTTGTTTGAATGTCATAATGTAAAGTGCAAACACACTGATCTATCGTCTATTAAATGCACGAACTGTATGAAAAATATTTTATTTTAATATATTTTAATCGATAAAGTATAATATTAACCGCTTGATACATTATTTATCGTAGACTAGTAAATTCTTCTTCATAAATGAATAGATAATCTAAACTTTAAATAGCGCGGCTGTCTTATCGATATCGAATAAAATCACCTAATACACATAGTGGTCCGAGTCCATAAGTTAGCAAATATGAATTTTGGAAAATTTGCATTTAGAAAATGCAAGAAAAGAAAAAAATATACAGACAATTTTATTTATTATATCATTACCTTTATTTTTTATCTAATCTCACAAAAATTATTGAAAAAATTATTATTTAGAAAAATCAACAACAGCTATGTAATAAATATAATAGTAGTTATAATAATAATAATAATAATAATAATAATAATAATAATAATAATAATAATATGAATTTATAACAAGAACATACATTCGAAATAACAAAAAATTATGTGCTACAGCAATATAATTATTCTTATTCATCTGAAATTTTTTCAACAACGATACACATTTATTTATTTGTTAAGCATAGGAATGAGTGGTATGTAATATTTATAAGAATGTTCTACATTATTCAAAATACCCATTATAAACATATACTTGGATACCCAAACGATTTAATATTATGGTAAATCAGACTACGAGAAACGAAGAGATACCGAATTGAGAAAGAAAAGTAATTTTTGATTTATTATTCATAGTATTCGAAGAAATTTTTCTAATTTTTCTGAGCACGTAAATAAATAACTATTATCGTTCGAATGTTTCCGAATTGACAGACGATTATAGAATCTTACCATGATCACTGAACGAGAAATCACCAATGCGCATTACATTCACATTGGAATGCGTGCAAGAATTTTAAAACACGTCGATATTATCTGTGGAATTTTGCACATGTGCAATCATATAAAGGTGCTTCTTTTACTACAGTAATTAGATTGTAATGTCAGACGCATCCATTGTTGGATAGTGGTTTCTCTGCCTCTCTCTCTCTCTCTCTCTCTCTCTCTCTCTCTCTCTCTCTCTCTGTGTATTTCTTATATAAATGCACGTACGCGTACGCGCGTTTTATATATATACATATATAGAAAGAGAGTGAGTGAGAGAGAGAGAGAGAGAGAGAGAGAAACAGACGCACATCCATAAGAAGAGAGACTTAAGAAGTTCGGTTCGCTAGATTTATCGGCTTCCTTGCGCACCATCAATTTTGCTTACGCGCATACGTATAAATGCGTGTAGATCGATATCTATTATAGTGCGGTTGACTTTCGCACTTGGTTCACTTGTCGCAACGCCGTACTCTTTTATTTTCGTCTCATTGCGCTCGATTATATAGAGCTGTTCGTTGCAACGACCGATAATGTCACTCGCCTCTCTCGGCCAGGTGACAAATTTTTTTCCTTACCTCGCTCTCCCTAGTCCCGACATACTCTTTTTTCCGATAGCGTGACGTGGGTTTCGGGTCTGTCGTTGTTAAACGGCGCGCGGAACAAGTGCGCCGCGCTTTCACAAATTGAAGTACTTTGCTACATTATCGAGAAAAATCTCTTTTAATATCCGCAAAATAATTCTTAACAACCTAAGTGTAAACCATAATGATTTTATATGAGGCAAAATCTATCGTCGCTTAAAAATGTTTATTAATTAAGAATATTCGATGTGATTTCGTGAAAAGCCTTGGAAATTCTTTAATATACCAAGTTTCACTAAATGTAATGAGAACAAACTGAAACAACTATTTGTAAAACAATCTGGATGAAGAAGATAAAAATCCTATAACTGGGTTTTTGTTTCGTTTCTATTGCTTATAGCAATTGACCGAATATAAATTATGGCACTCAATGTTATATTAAAACTTCGTTCAATGTAGAGTTAATGCGAAATCATTATAACTGACTTCTGAGCAGTTAATATTTCGGTCTGATAAATTAATTTGAAAATATTCTTCAAGCTTACATTGAACCGTAACCATTTTACATTTTTTTTTATACTTATGGATTATATTGACTTGTCAGTTCTATTCTACAATGCAGTAATATAACAGTATTTTTAACATTTTTTTTTCTTGATTATTTCTCTGTATGTACATATTTTCAATTATCTAATGCATGAAAGGTTTAATAAATAAACTAAATATAATAAACTGAACGACACATACATGCATGCAAATTTGTGTGCGCATAGCGTGCGCGTGGGGCGTGTGAGCGTGTAAGTAAGGTAGAGAAAATAAATATTTGTTTCTCAAGGACCTTTTCAAGTAATCATTGTGCATTTAAACGTATAGAGTTACAATGTAACTGATGCAACCGGTGATGAGATATTGAGTACTGACGAAATAGCAAAAAATTCGCTGCCTGTGTTTTCACAATTGGGCAATTACATTCATTTCCTGGAATCTCATCTCTCCCGATCATTATTATTAACTCCAGGATGTGTTACATGAAAGGTTCCAATTTGGTAAAAATTCCTTAACATATAACAGCACCCTCGATTAAATTATTTTTTCATCTTCGAAGATAATACGGCGATATTTGCTTTGCTTCAATTATAACGCAACGTACTTTATCGGTAACTATTAACGAGTTTTGCAGTTCGTACACTCTCGAAATCTAATTATTTTATGCTCGTTTAATAAATTTAAGTAATTAAACAAAATACTCAGTTTCTTAATAGAAATATATAATATAATGCAACTAATATTTATCCTTGCTATACATTTTTATAATTAATGTCAGTACACGTATTTGCAAGAAATAATTATATTTTCGAGTTATTATTTTATCGTGCATAATTTGAGAGACTCTAATGTTACATTTGGCAGACAAAGTACAAATATTAAATACAAAATAAGAAGCGCGCGATAAGTCCTGTCCAATACTCCTCAATTCCTTCGAGCGCTCTCCTTTCTCACATCCTTCCGCGATTCGTTATTAATGGAAACGAAAAAGAGAATCAGAAATACTTTACAAATGAATGGAGGGTGAGCTAGTACTTTTTGAGCGCGGTTATACAGGTTCTAGAGTGACTGGGCGTCGGTTACCTTGTGGCACGATAAACTCCAAACGCGCGTTCACGCAACCGCGCACGCACGCACTCACGCACGCACTCACTCACGCACACGCGTGCAAGCGTATAAAAGCACACACAAAACCTCAACACGAACAAAGAGAAAGAAAAAACGAAAAAGAAATATATGTATGAAACACACTGTACACGGCACCCTAACATGACCGATCGGTCTGGTCTGACAGATCATCGTTGCCTGTCCCCAGGAGGCACACCCCGTACTACGGCCAGCCGGACTACCGATTCTACGAGCTGAACAAGAGGTTACAGCAGCGCACCGAGGTGAGTCTTAACAACCAACTAAGCTATTTCTCAATGCATTCTGTATTACATTTCAGTTGATATGGCATTATGCCGACTAGCGCACGCGCCCATGGCAACTCGCCCATTATTTATTACGCTGGATAACTTGCTCGATGCTATCGCCAGAATTGGTCGATCGGACTCGCTAATTGTAACTTTCGTTTGTTTTATGTTATTTGCGTCATTTCTACTCAACTATTGTTTTTTCCCCCGTTGGACAATGTGCGATAATTGGCCAGCCGTGACCGTCATATTTTTACAGATATTACGACACGTTTAACAAATGAAATCAATGGATGGATGTAATTCTTCGATGCCCGGCGTGCGATTTATACGCCTGTTCGTGGCGGTTACTCCATGAATGATAAATTTCAGCTTTCTTATCGCGGTGGTGATGTTCCTTTTATTGTAACTCGCGTTACCGAACTTCATTATACTATTACTACTACTGCTGAGCCGTTGACTCACGTTTTTTACACTCTATGCCGGCTAATAATTAAGTGGCGATACGCGCCGTGGACGGGACGGGTCCATCTACTCGAGCTAATTCATTTGAAAACTTTGACGATGAAATGCCCCCCCCCCTCCCCCATGTAAGTCAGCCAAAAACTAGCTTGAAATAATAATGGCAATATGCAATTAAACGAGCACAAAATCGAGACTGTCGATTCGAGTTTTCGCTTCTTCATATAGCAGCGACTTTTCATTTAACCTTTCGATATAAACGGCCAAAGCGTATTCATATTTAATTTTTAACCCCTAAACGGAGGGCAAGTGGCGCGCGTCACGCGCACGCCATGAAAATCATTCGGCCCATGTCGCGAGATATACGATTATCGATAATTAAGATAGAGCCGCGCTTAGAGAGTGAGAGATAGTGAGAAAGAGTGAGAGAGAGAAAGAGCATACGTCTGGTACCGCGATCTCATCGCGGTTCCCTCGAGTCAGCCTTCGATAACGCGATCGATCAACCTTCGCGATATTACGCGCCATTCTCACACGCGTAAATGCTCCATGATAACTGCCTGCCAATATTGACCTTTGTGCGCACGGACTCAGCTTTTTGGGACGATTATCGCACCGACTCATTCTCTCTCTCTCTCTCTCTCTCTATCTCTCTCTCTCTCTCTCTCTGTCTGTCTGTCTCTCTCTCTCTCTCTATATATATATATATATATATATATCTCACTTTCCCATCTTCGTAGCGAGTTCATTTCTCTCATTGTGTGCCAGTGAACTTTTTCTTTAACCGTTAAAAGTTGGTATTGTGCTGGTAGCGGCTAGACAGATCGTTCCGCGGTGTTTTCGTTCTCGTTTTTGTTTGTCGGTACTTCTGACCTTGAAAGTATCCAAGGCGTCCGAGTTCTAGCGATTCATTATCAAAAGTGTCATTCTTACATAAGGGGAATAGACCAAGCGAGAAATTTAAGTTATTTGATAAATTTAATATACTTTTGTGATCAAAATATTTAACATATTTTATAATGAAAAAAAAAGTAGTCCCAAAGCCCTTCTTATATCATCTTATAATTAATAAGATATCTAGAAATTAGCATATGTGCAAACTGTCTAGACGTGTATTTCTTTTATAAAGTGAAATGAAATTATTTTATAAATTGATTATATATGAAAAATATTCTTTTTAGTGAATTATATAATTAATCTAGAGTAATATAATGAAATAGAAATTTTTAATAAATGGCTACGTATATAGACGTATTGAAATTTATAATTTTTAGTTACGCAATAAGATGGTTCATTGGCAAAAAGTATTTAATGCGCCACCTATTTTCACGTACTTTAATTCAAATAATTAATATAGTAATTTATGCAAATAACATCATATATATATATATATAAGATTTTATGTTATAAATATACACTTACCAATTTTAAACAGAACTGTAAAATCTAATTTAATAAAAAAATTTGACTGTCTATTAAAAAATGCAAAGCACACTATTCCATTGATGATTTATCGATACATAAATTGTAATATAATTATCTCGTACTGTTTATCGCGTAAACACAGTTTTCGTGTTCAATATTAATGATGAACTTTTATATTTTTATATAAAATTTTACTATCAGATTTAGAATGCGAATCGAATGTTTAAAGAATTTTCAATTATTTTAGGTTTGAAAAGAAAAACATATTTTTTCATAAAAATAACGAGTTCTTTCTGTCTATCGAAAAGTCTTTAGAAAATTATTACTTAATAAATATAGTTGATTGTTTTATGTAAAATTATTTTTATGTAAAAGTATTGTAATTAAATTATCAAAAAATTTAAAAAAAAAAAAATGTATCATGATATTATATTTACTAATTTGTATAAGATATTTTGTATAATATTTTGTTGAAACTATTTTTGATTAAATATAATCTTTCAGTTTTTATTTCTTAATATCCAATTAGGTATCAAATATACGCATATTGGATATTATATGCTTAATATTTTGTAGTACCTGACTCGCGTTCTCGCCATTACATAAAATATTTGCAATACTAAAAGTAACGATACGAAAAATAGAATAATATTAAAGATAATTGAATCGAGTGACGCAAATAAACATGATAGAAATCCGTCGCAGTAAGATAAGTCCGTTAAAGCTTCGTAGTGGTAATAATTTGTTCTGCTTTCATCATATTTTTAAATCCGTGTCAAGGTTCATGATAACATGATAAACCTCATCGTCGCAAAAATCGTTATTGAGGAAAGCGTTTGGATTTATATATAATCATGGTGTAAGGTGTCAAAGTGTGTATGTGTGTGTGTGTGTGTGTAGATGTGCGCGCGCGTGCATGCGTGTCTGTCTGTCTGTCTGTCTGTCTCTCTCTCTCTCTCTCTCTCTCTCTCTGTGTGTGTGTGTGTGTGTGTGTGTGTGTGTGTGTGTGTGAAAATTGTCAGAAATATCATTGAAATAGACGTTGGAGTTTATCATGAAAAGTAAATGCGGTCAGTGGAATTATCGCGATCTCGAGTTTTCCATCGATCTTCTAGCACAATCGTGCATGATTTGACAATTATTTACATTTGGGATTACGAGTCGTTTCTAAGAAGATCCCATCCCATCAACTTTCGCGGTAAAGGATTAAGAAATAAGCGCCATTCCTCTCAGTTTCCCACCCTCGTTGTTTATTGACGTATTTGACAAGAGTCCTTCATTCATAAACGCATGGGGAACTTTCTTGAAGAAAAATTAACTTTTCGATGAGCTAATTGAGCTTGCGAGTCGTGGACCCATTGGGGCCATTAAGTTATCGTTAACGTATTCAAACGAAGCTGTTATTTAAATATAAAATGAAATTTAATTTTCATTCTTTAACTCGGAATAATTGCAATAATTGATTTGACCGTACCGTAATATCTTTAATATTTCATAGAAAGCAAACAATCGAATGGCATTTCTAGAAAATTAATTTCTATTGCATTTTCTTATGAATTAAAATATTCACGAATATTGAAAGCGAGTAAGAATAACATTTTTCTCCATCATATACTTAGTCCTCTCGTCGGTCATCGGTATGAAAGTCAGTAAAATGTGCGTAAATTACAAAATACAATCAAGAAAAAAGAATTTAAGGAAATAAATATCGTTAAACGTCCTTTAAAATCCTTTTTTAAGAATCACAAAACGATTTATTAATTTAAACAAAAAGCAAACAAATGAAAAACAGTACGAATTAAATATGATGTATAACTTGACTAGTTGCTGTGTATGAAACCACCAGTGAAGGCACCATAATTTAACTACGTGCATTTAAAAATTGTTGCTCATGCCATGAAAGAGTAAATTCCCACTAAAACAACGTAAATAACAACTCGTTAATGACCGAAGTTATGATTTCATCTCTCAACTCCAAGCCCTTTTCGCTCTTTATCTACTAACAGGCCGCCATCTATTCTAAATTCACGACTCGCGCGTCCCTCTCCACGGCGCTTTAATACTTTTGACGTGGCGTGTCCACCGGCCATAAATCATCTTCGTTTCCCATGTGCGGCTATCGTCGGATCTCTTTCGGACTCTGTCAGCAACGTACGTGCGCTATACTTAAACCTACCCGTGCCAACCTCCGTGCCATCTCTCCTCTCTCACTCGCTCTTTTTACCCTATATACAACTTAGTTGTATTGTGTCTCTTATCGAAAAGCCGTATATTTTGCATGCTCCCACTCTCCCCACTTTTACTTTTTTTTTTGTTCGGAAGAACCATATTTTCACTTTGGTGCAGAGGAAAGCTCAAATACTTTACAGGAACAATTGTTTGGATCTCTATTGTCAAAGAAATTTTTCAATGTTATGCGCAACTGCTCAGTCGTACTGAAAAAGTACTCTGAAATCGCGCTTTTTAAGTAAATTTCTTCATTACAGCATTTGCTCTTCGATTATGTATAATTAATCGATTATATATAAAAAATATATTATTTTTTTTTTGTTAATTTTATACTTTACTTTTCAAGATACTCGTTTGCATATAGGTTAGTTACATAGCAATAATGAAAATTACTCCAATATTGTAAGCCATAATCATCGCACTATTTAGTAATAACTTGATTAATAATGAATAATCTATTTTTGATAAATAGGATAAGAATTTAATATTCTTTATAAATACTTGTTCAAATTGTGCACTTTTGTTTTTCATAATATATCTTTTTTTTTTTAATATTAAAAATATCTTTATTAATTTCTAATAAAACAACTTTATTAAAAAAAAACCGTAATTACCGTAATAGAAGATCTAATATTTTTATTCTTACATAATACAAAAAAAAAAAATATTAAATTTGATTCTAAGTAACGCATCTTTTTGTACGTCACGTGAAAATAATCCAATCATTTATAAAAAGATATCATTAGAAGCAAATAAAATTACTAAGACTTCTGTTGATAATTCAATTTTATATATTAAACATTTCATCTTATTTCCATATTATTGAAATATTTAAAACTGTAAGAAAATCGCTAATGTTT